CCAAAACCCCAAAACCCCAAAACCCCAAAACCCCAAAACCCCAAAACCCCTAGAAGACAAAATAAGAAAATCAAGGAGGAATTAATAAAAAATAAAATGTAAGGCTAAGTAAACAAGCAAGTAAGCTTTTTTATGAATTTACCATTGTGATTTTCAGCATCTGTAAAACTAGCTAGTATTTAATCCTGATGGCTCTCTGACTGAAGATGCTTCTAATGCTTGCAAGTTCCTTTAGATAGACCCAACTACACTAGTTATCAAGTATTTATTCATTAGAATCAACAATCTCATGAATTATTTTTTATGTAGATCAGTGGAGCAGTTTTAAGAAAAAGGTATCTCTGACACAATCATTTAAATTAGATACTAGCATTACGAAGAGAAGAGAAGAGGTTAGTTTATCACTATATATATTCATTAATCTATTAGCCAAAATTGAGTTGATAGAGAAAACAATAAAAAATGGGATGCTCGGAAGTATAATCTCTAGCCTGATGATAAGTAAGTTTCAAATAATAATTAATTGCAAAAATTTAGAATCCAAGTTAAGAGGCTCACCTCATAAAACAGGAGCATTTCCAGACAACAAGTAAAGTCATAAGGGCTTATTAGGCTAACTATCGAAATCACTGCCTCATGTAATACTTATATTTATACCTAATTATAATGTTAAATGTAGTCTGCTGGAAGACCTGAAATACCCCTAAGAGAACCAATAGATTAAGACTTTAAGAACAATCGAAAGATGGCTAAGCAGTTATATAACTAAGAAAGAGTAGAGAAGGTGAAATAGAATAAGGAGTTTCACTAGTAAATGATTGATCAGCAAATGGATGCACTTCTTAAGAGAGAAAAAAAGAAGGAAAAGCAATTGGAAGATGAGAGGAAACAGCTGGAAAAAGATTAAAAAATCATCAGAGAGTAAAATGAAAGGAAAAGGCAGTAAGTGCTTGAAATGAAAAAGAAGCTGCTTAAGGACAAGGAAAAAGAGTTAAAGGATCAGGAGAAGAAGGTCCAGGATCAATACGACAAATACATTTCGGAAAAAGATGAGAGGATGAAGCGATAGTAAGAAGAACTGTTCCAACTTGATTTAGAACAGATGAAGGAAATAAAGGATAAGCATGGAGCTATTTAGTAAAAGATAAGGGTAAGTGAGAAGATTTATTATAGTTTGTTTTTAACCTTCAAATTTCAAGAACTAATAGTAACTTATAGAGAGAATAAGAAGAAGTAGAGATTCAACTAAAAGTAATTGAGGAAAAACTAAACATTAAGGAAAAGGCAAAAATAGAAAAACTCATCAAAAAGCAAGAAGATCTTAAGATTCATTCTGAGATAGTTAGCACAAGATTAAATCATGTGAAGGAGTTAAGTACATCCATAAATGCCGAGCTTATTCAAAGGGATCTAGAAAAGATGTCGAAGACTGTTAAAAATAAAGAAGAAAAAATCAAAAAGGACATCATAGACTTGAAAGTAAAGAATCAGCGTAAGTTTGAGAACATCGAACTAAAGTAAAAAGATATTTAAAGAAGGACTAGGGAATAGTTTAATTACTACTAGCAAAAAAACAACCTCAGAGATTAGCTCATTACTGACGTCAAAGAGGCCCTGAAAGAGGATGTTGAAAAGAAAAAAGAACTCTCCCTATTAAGGAAAATGGACTAAGAAGAGAACTTCATGAGAAGCTAAAACTTCCATAATATGTATAAGCAAAAGCTTCAAGAGAAATTAAGCGAGAAAAAAGATAGAGCTGAGAGAATAAAGGAGCAGTAAAAGAGGATTGCTGACATGTGTGGAACTGTTAGAACCATCGATCCATTCAGAAGTGTCATTAGTGGGGCTGGCAACTAAATGGCTAATAAAACAGTCACACATCTCAGAACTAAGAGTGTGGGTATTAATTTTTGATTTAGCCTTATTAATCATATTTTGGCTGTTTAATTTTAATTACCATTCGAACTCATTTTCTTTATAAATTATACTTGGGGTTTTGGGGTTTTGGGGTTTTGGGG